TAAAAAATCGCGCGATTTTTTATTACAAATTTTCGCCTGCGGCTCTTTTTTCTAAAAAATCCAATTTTTCCATATATCTTGAAAATTTGTAATAAAAAATCGCGCGATTATTTATTACAAATTTTCGCCTGCGGCGCTTTTTTCTAAAAAATCCAATACTTCCATATATCCTGAAAATTTNTATACACTTTTACTGCTTGTATGTATGATGAATGTCTACATATAAGGCTGAGATTTCCTATAATGGACCATTTCCTATATCACCCAAAGTATTACGAATTTTTTAATGAAATTCGCAGGGGGTGTTGAGGAGGTGCTCATTGACCGATATCATCAACATTTTGTGTACAAATGCTAATAGTTTTTAAGTTATTCGTTGTTAAAATTTCCCCACTGCTTCACAATTATTTTTTTATAAACACTGCACTAATCACTTTTCTTTTTATTAATACACCATCTTTTCTTCATAAACAAATGGATGCACATCTTTTTTCACTAAATATTTAGCCATTAATGCTTATAAAAGTGTTCTTAAAATATTTTTCTATTCTCAAAGAATAGTAAACACACAATTGTTCAGCGATGGCCGCCATGAATGAGGTGCCATATCGTTGAAAATGTTAATAGTTCTTTTTAGCCAAAAATACTTTGTGATGCATTACGGGATTGAAGGCTAAAAGGAAAATATTAATTTTACGGTCTTATTTATGCACATATATTTAATTAATATTCGCCTGCGGCGCTTTTTTCTAAAAAATCCAATACTTCCATATATCTTGAAAATTTTTAATAAAAAATCGCGCGATTTTTTATTACAAATTTTCGCCTGCGGCTCTTTTATCTAAAAAATCCAATTTTTCCATATATCTTGAAAATTTGTAATAAAAAATCGCGCGATTATTTATTACAAATTTTCGCCTGCGGCGCTTTTTTCTAAAAAATCCAATACTTCCATATATCCTGAAAATTTTTAATAAAAAATCGCGCGATATCCAATAAAAAAGCTAAATCATATATGTACATGTCCACTTTATTATTTACGTTTTCGTTGATTCCCTTTTCAGTACTTTTTTTTTTACACATTTTTTGTGATGTGTGGCAGCACCGCAATTTCAGTTCACTCGATGTACAAAGGAAAATGTGAGGTTAAATTGCACTTTTTTTTACAACTTTAACAACGAATTACTTAAAAACTATAAGCCTCCGGAGGGGGGGGTTTTCAGATTTAGAATCACAAAAAGCCGCTCTAAACCCCCTAATTTTTTTTTTTTTTCAAAGCCTGGTCCATTATTGGAAAATTTTCCCAAATTTGTAATAAAAAATCGCGCAATAAATAATGCGGCACTTTTTTTTATAAGAATCAATACTTCGATAAATAACGAAAATTTGTAACAAAAAAATGTTCGCCTGAGGCGCATTATTTTATATAAATCCATACAACCACAATGAAAATTTGTAATAACAAATCGTGATTTTTTATTACACATTTTCGCCCGCGGCGCTTTTTTCATAAAAATCTATACTTCGGTAAATCATTGAAATTTCTATTTTACACTGCGTCGCTTTTTTTAAATCAATACATCGATATATAATGAAAAAAAACGTATTATGTGCGTTCTTATTGATTCCCTTCTTCAGTGTTTTTTTTTTTGGCGTTTTTTGTTATGTGTGGCAGCACCAACATTTCAGTTCGATTGGTCTACAAAGCAAAAAATGAGATTAAATGCGACATTTGTTGCAACTTTAAATGCAGATTACTTAAAAACTATAAGCCTTCGGAGGGGTGGTTTTCGGATTTAGAATCAGGGGAACCCGCTCTACACACACCCCTTCCTTTTTATTTTTTTTTTTCGAAAGCCTGGTTTCGTATTGGAAAATTTTCCCATATTCGGGCCTAGCACCGTCAACAAATAAACACATTTCCAAAAATCATAGCGATTTTTAGCAACTTGAAACCTGCACTTTATTGCATTAAATTTAATGTGCTACGAAACTGCATACTCAAAATCTTTCTGGCCAACCTAATCTAAAAGTTGCAAATCTGCATGGAAATTTATTGAGTTTTCCTGAAAAGTGCACAACGTTTAGAAGTTTAATTTTTTTTTGTAGCATTAATTTTATTTTTATAAAACATTAGCGAAAGAACTTGGAGTTAAAAAACACTGCATTCATAGCGAAAAATTCTCCGTACCTAGACTTTTGTCGCCCACCGTATGTAATAACATATTTATCTTTTCCAGTACGCACTAGTGAACCCCCGATACTTTTTTTCCGGAAGCAAGTTCTTACATAAGTACTTTTTTATTCGATTCTATTTTCGAGCTTGGTAGTACTTGCTATCAATACGGTGACCGGATTTCTGTGGACAAAAATCGGAACATTTGTAATGCATCGAATCCGAACACACAATTTTTTTTTTTAATAAAACATCTTTTAATGCAGTTATATTTAAAACAAAATAAAGAGAAAAAGATTTGAAAAGTTATCGCCAAAATGTATGTATACACAAAATATATACTGTGGCGAGAATGTAAATAAAAAAGATATATTTTAGCAAGTTTTGGCTAATTTTCTTTATTTAAAAAAGTCTTATTATTTTTTTTGTAAATCTAGCTTACTATCTAAAAAGCTATGGAAGTCAAAATTTCAAAACTTTGAATTATAAAAAATGCTGATACAAATTTTTAACATTTTAAACAGATTTTTTAGAATTATTTTGAGTATACCCATTCAATTCAATGTGCAAATTTGAAGTAGCTTGGACTTACCGTTGATTTTTGGCAAATTTTTTGTTCGCGTATTTTCTTCCATACAAAGCTTGAGCAATACCTTCCACAAAAAAAAATTACAAAACTGCATACCCGGAATGTTTCTAAAAAACCTAATTAAAACGCCCAAAAGTTTGATTAAACTGAATAAATAAATATAAAAACCTTACAAAAAAATCAGCCAAGAGTGATAGACTGCAATATAGTAGGAAGAATAGAACATAACAAAAGATCATAGAAAGTAAAGATGCTGGCTATGTTTATGACTCCCCTATATTTTATGTTCTTTGTGAAAACGAATGTGCTGCTTCGTTTGTTACTGGCCGTCTCCATAGGATAAAATTTATTGCTGTCCAGCCGTCATTTTGGTCGCTAGATATAAATTATCAGGCATGTTCTGAAATTCGAAACTTTGAAATCTACTCGATTTGCCAAATATTTTTTAATTATATCTGATGAAAAGAGTGAATATTCTAATTGAAAACCGTAAAAGAAGTAGCAGCGATATGAAATACATAATTTTAATGCGAGTCTTTTAAATTTTTGGGTTAAAAACCTTCGAAAAAATTATCGAAATCGAGTAGATTTCAAATTTTCGAATTTCAGAACATGCCTGTATATCAGTGGCAATATTTGTGTGGGCTTTTTATATCTTGATATAAGCATCTATGAGATAGCTTCTAAAACGTATTTTTGCCGGATTTAATCACTTAAAAAATTTAGAAAATAGGCTATTTTACATCCAATTACATAATAACAAATATTTTAAAAGAAAACAGTTCAATATTTGCTTTTATATTAAAATATCAATAATGTTGCCGCCACGAAATTTTCATGCATATGAACATGTAGCTGTCAAACTACCAAATAGCCGGCAATAGATGGCAAGATATAAGCTCTGATATATATTGCTCTTGAAGAGCAATGAGCGGTCTCGATTGACAAATTATATTCTGACATATGTATCAAGATATAAACTATATCCTGTGGAGACGGGCAGTAAGAAAAATTGTTTTTGGGTCAGAGTACACTGAGACTATTTTTACATTAATAAAGAAAACACTGAAGATTGGAACATAATCGGTACAAATATGAATAATCGAAACACTTATACTCCCGACTTTAGAATAATATTCAGCGGGACAATTTTCTCAAAATCGGTACTGTCCCGCCAAAATCGGTACGAATGGTCACCGTAGTTATCGATAACTTTTTAAAAATATTTCAACATGGCAACGCTATAACCAGCGTTTGCTATGTAAATTTCAATGTATTGTTATTTTTTCGTGTCTATGCGTTTGATTGATTTGGAAAATGGAGATTTTGCTGTGCCTCCAATACCAAAGAGCAAATAAATGTATTTTTTTAAAAGCAATGCATATTAAAGAAAAAAGATGTGTACAATAAAATCGTTTTTACTTTTTCTTTTAAATCAAATATATACATTAGAAGAGTACTATATTTTTCAGATTTTTTTTTAAGTACTATAAATATCTTAGAAAATGATGGCAACCCTACTCATAACTTGAGTTTTTTAAAAATCGAGAATAGTTCAAGAAACAATTAAATCAACGTGGTATTAAATATGTAAAAAAATGGGCCGCAAAATCCGCTTTTTTTTATAATTTTCATTGGTAAAAGCAAAAATATGGTTCATTATACTCTAAAAACGATATGTGTCAAAGCCTTAGCTCTCTCAAGTCTTAAGCTCGGTCCAGTACATCAAAGTTCAAATGCTAAAAAAAATTGTTTTAGCTTACTTCGATTCTCTCTAAAGATAATTGCATTTTAGTAAAAAAAAATGTTTTAATTCATGTATTTATTAATTTTAATTTTTTGTGCACTTTGAACTTTGATGGACTTGGGTGAGCCTAAGTTATTGACCAAAAATTTCCATCTTTCACAGAAATTGTTTTCAGAGCATAATAAACAAAATTTTAGCTACTGCCAATCAAAATTCTAAAAATGCGGATTTTCGGCCCACGCTAATATATATATATGTACATACCTATATAGAAATACATTGCATAGGTTTCATTAATCATGCACCAGTTAAAAAATAAAGATTTTTTCTTGATATCCCTAAAATTATGATGTTGCAGGTGCGTAA